TTGTCCATTTAACTTCTCCTTTGAGATGGAAGAATACATACTGAAGAATCCTATCCCTTATGTTACTGAATAAGGCATGCCTATAGATTAATCCTGTTTGGGGTGTTTGATTGTTCAATTAAATTAGATGCAGAATAGGAAAAGGCAAATTGAATTACTGTGCCTTTATCCATCTGCAACACTCAGCCATCCCGCTTAAAGGAACAGAGAATGCTGCATGGAAAAATATTTTTCTTGACTGTGGACTCTCCTTCATAGAGAAAAAGGAACATCCCTTGTCACTGAATTTTTGCTCTGGATTAGTTAACCTGGCTTCTGCAGGGTCAGAGCTAAACTCCAGGGGTGCTCACAGCAGGTGTGAAATTGCTAAATCCTCCCTCCTCCCAGCCCACTCGCTTCATTACCTTCACTGAAGAGTCAGTGCAACTAAAGAGCCTTTTTGTCCTGGCCATTTTCCAGTTGGTCATATTTGCTGCTAAAGAAATGGTAGCTGGGGTGGTTTGTTCCCCTTCTGGGTGTCTCCTACTTCACTGCACTCAAGGCCTTTCTTTCTGGTGGTAACATTCTTCTGCAAGAATATTCTCCACTCTTTCTGCATTATTGCTACAGGCCTATCTGTTAAATCTTAAATACTAATGAATCATTAAAAAGGGTATTAACATATTTGCTGGCCTTATATGTGTGTCTTATTCTTCACAGTTTTATAGCAATTTCTATTAAAAACCTCATTACAGAGATTATTGTGACATGCTTTGAAACAGCAACATTCATTACATATTATCTATGGATTGGAATTTGGGAAATTAATGCACCAGGAAATGAAATGACTCACCCAGGGTCTCTGAAGATGTATGTTCAACTCATGATTAAAATCCAGGCTGTAGATCTGCATTGTGTTTGCTGCACAATCTTTTTTGCTTTTCCTCTTTTTTTCTTTAAACCACATCAGTTTTACATTTAGCTGGAAAATTCCACTGTGCTGCTTTTGTTGTCAAAGGATTATTGGCATTTAGCCAATTACTTTAGTTAAATGTGGCTTGTTTGAGAGTATTCCCTCCCTCTACTTGGGAGTTCAAAGCATGGAGAGAAAATGGGATAACTGGGAGAGAAGAGCCAGGCTGTGGGGAGGATGGGCAGAGAAATGGAGAGGCAGAGACCAAAGTGCTCAGGTGATGGAGTGGCTGTGAGATGTGCTGCTGCTGCTGCTGCTGCTGTTGAGAGTCTTGTATCCACAAATGGTCAGAGTGACACGGATTTTCCAGCCTTTCAGTTTGGGTGGGGTAGGGAGAAAAGAGGGATAGAGGGAAGGGAGGAATGAAGAGAGGCTGTGAGGCAGCTGCACATTGGGTTTTTCCTTACATTACCTGCTCTGGTGTGCCCACTGCCCAGGTGGCTAGTGTGGAGATGGTAGATATTTATCTCATTAGGCTACACCCTCTGTAAAAATATGATATTTTATGTGTCTGCTTCCAAACTGTATGAGTGGAATCAACTCACACAGTGCCCACAGCTTTCTGATTGCAGACATGTTGCTCTTGTCTCTCCAGGGGACTTGTCCTGGTGTCCAGAGGGGACTTCAATTGCAGCCTTTAGGGGGGAGACCCAGCAATGCCCTGCCTACAGGGTATTTTTTTTATCAGGTACAATGAGGGATCCTGTCCTTGGGGCCAGCTGCCCAAGAATTCTTGGCATTTTCTGAAATTTTGTCTGTTGTAGAGCAAATAAATGTCCTTAGACATAAACATATCCTCAATACTTAGTCATCACAAGGAGTTAGAAATTTATTTCTTAACTTCTGTTTTCCTTTCAATGCCAGATGGAGAGAAATGAACAAGAAATTCAGAGCAATAAAATTGCAATTTTCTATATAGACAGATAAGTGAAGAATAATTTTCATTTAAGGGAATATGTCTTCATTTTGGAGATATCCTGAATATATCTTAGCTTCGGTTTGAGGAAACAGATGTGTGGAAAAAATTCATTTGTAATAATAATCGTAAAGAAATTAACATATGCTTATATTTTTCATTCCACTTTAGATTTTGTGGAACACCACTCATCTGTAAACTACTATGTGCACATGTATTATTGCATAAAGAATAATATTTCAGGTTAGAGATGTACTTTCTTTTTTTTTGCCTCTTCTGCAACTGCAATGTGAGAACTGCTAGCCAGAAGGTCGAAGATTTAAATGTGGGATCCATATAGTTCCAATGTAGCAGATTTAAAGGCTGTAATGCCACAGAGCATCCAGGAATCTGACCAATTTGACTCATAAATCCTTTCAAATACAAAATCTGCAGTATAGTATCTGAAGCTTCCCATTTCCTGCTTTTCTTATCAGTAATGCTTCTGTGTTTCCTGAGACAAGCTAAATGTAAGTTAATCTTTTGATCTGTTTGAAAAGATAACTTTGTCATGCAAATAAAATGAGGCTCAGTCTCCAGTTCTATTCTCATCCATTTAGATTTTTATACTGAGCATCAGAGGGACTACTGACTATCTCGGGGTACCTTGTAAATCCAGATTTTGAATTGCCCATGACAATTTCATTTACTCAATCAAAATATAAGTAAGTATTACTCTTAGGAAATAGGAAACTGCTTTAAAAAATTATGTCCTATCATAAGACTTTCTTAATCCTCAAAGCCTGCTCTGCTGTGAAGTTCCAGTACTTGAGGAAATTCCCAAAATATTGAAGTAACTGCAATAAAAACAACATACAAATGAAGAAACAAAGTCTATAACAATTTTAATGAGGAGGTGGTTGTGTTAAAAATAATTTGGAAAACTAAGCTCAGGAGTTCAACAAAATATTTTGCATAACATATTTTTCTGTATTTAAGATTTTTTTTTTATTTGTAACATATCTAGTGAATCTGTGAGTGTGGTGAGGCACAGGAGTAGTTTTCCCTGAAAAGTTGTGGAAGTCCCATCCCTGTAAATGTTCAAAGACAGGTTGGATGAGGCGCTGAGCAACCTGGTCTAGTGGAAGGTGCCCCTGCCCATGGCAAGTGGGTCAGAACCAGATGGTCTTTAAGGTCCCTTCCAGCCCACAGCATTGCGTGATTCTGTGGTTCTATGAGTCTATGAATTCAAGGTATACCACTTCCTCATAAAACAGAATCCCAATCCTGTTTAGGGGAATACAGTATCTGCCACAATTTCACTTACTACAACAGGGAACGTGATTTCCCACCCAGCGAAAAATAGAAAATCACTTGCAAAAGCAAATAAAATCGCAAGGAAAGAAAAAAGAAAAAATAAAAAAAGCCAAGGTTTATTGACATCTCACACTGAAATTCAGATTTCTTCTTCCCCACAGTCACTCTCTGTAAGGAGAAAATTTAAAAAATACTTGAAATTTCTGTGAAAATTGTTGCAGATAACAAGAAGACAAGAATCATGTCAGCTTAAGAGATTGAGAACAGTAACCTTTATAAGTATTTTCTAAATTTTGACAAAAAGATACATTACTAATCATATATTTATATAAGTATATTCCCTTTTATTTGTTTCTAAAAGTAAATTCATGTAGTACAGCTTTTTGAGTTAAGAAGTTGTATAGAGTAGAATTTCCTCATTCATCATTTGGTGGATTCTGTTTGTTGGTAAGGTGAAGTAGAAATAAGTGTAACTGTAAAAATGTGGAATTACAGTTGCAAAATGGAGTAATTGGAAAAATTGAAAATCATAGGATCATTTAGGTTGGAAAAGAACTGTATGTTGTATCATCATAAAAGATGCCTAGTTTTGTACAGATAAATATATGCACATTTTGATTTCCAGTCAGGTTGTTGTGGAAGGTGTTTTGAGCAGCTGTGATGATGAGTCCTTCTCTAGCTATGTGCAGGCTATTATTCACCTGAAATATTAACTTCTGTTGTCAGCTTTTGTCCAAATTGCACTTATTTATTCATTAGAGAATTTTAATGGGTTGATTCAAGGTTACTTTTGACTTCAAATTAGTCATATTGTTCCAATTTCAAGCAGCTCCACAAAAATGTGATTTGCCGAAGTGCAAAAATACTTGCAGTTGTCCCAGGAAAAATCCATTAAAAATGTAAGAGTGAGGCTTGTTTTGACAAATTTCAACATGAGTCATGAATACTCAGGATTCTTACACCTTTGAACATGAATTTTCAAGCTGCATAATTTTGATCCCAAAATAATACCTCATGACATATTATCACAAATAAATCCTCCGACCTTAAGATGTTACTTTTTATAACTAGTCACCAATTTATGACCTATAGGAACTGTCTTATCTTCTCTTTAGATTATTTTAATCCCTGAAGAATAGATAAATGTTGAACTGTCTGAAAAAAAATCCCAGTTCATTTTGGATATATAGCCTGGAAAATTTGTGTTTTCTTCTGGTGATAAACCCTGAAGATCCCTGCTTCATCAGTTATTATAGTATCCATGCATATTGCAATAGATTCATTGGCAATGAAAACTTTATTCTGAGATTGATTTTGGAGGGAGTTTAGACAATTTCTGATGCAACTGCACTGAGGCCTCTAACTTGGTGTTTCTCAGAATGTGAAAGTAAGAAGCACATGGTGTTTTTCATATTCCAAAAGTGAAAATATCCTGTCAGGGGGGCACTAGATGTGCAGAGATTGAATAAAATCATGTCACACTGTAGTCACTGATTCCACGTTCTTTGAAAGGGACTACATAGTTCTTTTTATTATTGGCTTGCAGCTTTGTGGAAATAAGGTTGCTTTCTTATTCCTAGTTTGCATTTTTTTTTTAATCATATCACAGCAGACATAATCAAAATTCACTCATGGAGCTTGGACAAATTTTAACAGTTCAATGACACTCACAAATTAAAAGTAATAATAATTTGTAGGTTTTGGGGGTTTTTCAGCAAACTGTTTTTGCAGAGTTTTGCTTGTAGTGGTACCAAAGTCTTTTCTGCGTTTCTCTATGAATTTAATTTTCAGTTATGTTAATACTGAAACTGAATTTCTGTGTGTGCTTTAGCCAACATGGAAGCATAGTTTGCAGATTCATCTGCAAAGCTTACTGAGAAAGTGAAAATGCAGTGCATATAAAAAAAAAAATAAAATCTGTGATAATCCAGACATCCTGGATGAAACTTAATGTAACTCTTAGAGAAAATACAGCTGTCTTGAGTCCAATCTAAGGCATACATATCAAAGACAAATACAATGGAAGAATTTATTTTGAAAATAATGCCCTTCATCTTTGGAAGATGCACTTTGGAAGATGATGGTCTCCATTATAAGCAACATTTTCTCCATTGTAACTGACCCAGATGGAATTTTGAAAAAGGTAATACAAACTACTCAGGTCATCAAACATCTCTTTTTTTTAAATTTCAGATATATGCAAGACAGAAACCTATGCCAATTCAGGGAGCATCTGGTATTGCAACTTTTTCTTTAAGAGATTTTTTTTTTTAAAAAGGAAAAGTGAAGAAGGAAGAAAAAGATCTAGCTATGCCCATGTACTTTCTGTGTAGCTGTCCATGTACTTTCCAAAAACCCTGTAATTACCTAACCACTCATCCCATTTGGTTTCCCTTTCACTCCTATGACTAAGAGGAGAAAGAACTCTTTTCTAGTAATTTTCCATGCATGCCTAATCAACATGGGTCAACTGAAAACTGAAAACTTAGAAGAATCATTATGTACATATGACAGAATAGCCTTCAAAAGATAAGCAGTTGGTCTTATTGTTTTGTTGATTTGGAAGCCACAATGTAGAAGAATTATACTCCTCTTTCCCATTCCCCTGAGTGAAAAGAGATGCCATTCAACATTTGATTGCATTTCCCAGCTAGGAAATAAAAGATCAAAAGGAAATTTCAGTTCCTAGCATTTGAAAGGCAGGCAAAACAGATCTCTTGTTTGGTTCAACCCCACCTGACTTCTGGCAGTGCAAAGCCCTTATACACAATGGGTCCATTTTCTATATAATTCTGGAAGTTAGATGCAGTAGAGACGTGGAAGTCCTTGTGGTCTTTTTTCTGGCCAAGGCAGCACTGACACCAGCTGTTTGTTCCTGGATGTCTCTGCTAGTGTTAATCTGAAATGATGCAAGAAACAAGGCAGAATATTTCATGTGGCATGTCCACTCTTCTGTCCAGCGCCTCTATCAGGCAATCACCTTACAGATTTGAGTACCCTGTAAATCACACAAAAAGTGGATTTAATAGCAGAGGTAAGATTTTTTTTGGAAATTATTCTGTAGGGTTCAGTATTCTCAGCATGTGGGATTTCTCTCCTGGTCTGAGCACACTAAAAATGAAACCTTAATCAACAGCAAACCCCTCATGTTTCAAGTATGTCTATTTAAATCAACTACAAAGGTAGGCAATGATTTTGAATAGAAATTAATCCTTTTCCATTTAAAGAATCAAGATTTCTGAGAACAATCCTGTTCAGCTCCTGGTAGATATGTATAAACAGGATCTGATCTGAGGAAAATGGAGTGTACTTCCAGTAAAGATAAATATTACAGCTTTAATCTACACTGCAAATTAAATATGTTATTAAAACCAGAGTCTATAGAATGAATTTATTTATGAAGTAGTCATACTAGAACTGTTTTCAGTCAGACTTTATCTTACTTTACCAGCACCTTTGTCAGTACCAAGTATTTTAACTCCTGAACAGCATGTTGCTGAGACTAAATAAACAGTAAAATTCACATCCATGTAGACAGTATTTTAGCTTGCTGCTGACATCAGATACCTATTTTTTATTGTCTTCAAACTGTAAAATTAGGACATTGATGCTCATCTTTAAAGTGGCTTTTTTATCTGCGCCAGGGTAAGAGTATTGAGAAAGCTGAATGTTAGTCTCATATTTTAATGCATCTGAATCTTGTTCTAAAAGATTCACATAAAAAATAATTGGGGTCCTGGTATAATAAGTGCTTTTTAAGGTATCTTTTTTTCATGGAATAAAGAAATCTGGCCAACATATAATAATGATCCTTTTATAGGTAATTAAACTTTTTTTCCAATTACAGTGTGGGTTTTTTTGTTTGGACTTATACGTTGATTATTGATTCCCAATAGACATTACTTTTCTAAAAGCATTAATTTATCTACAGTCCCCCAGACAAATAAACAACTCACTGCAAAATCCATTTCTTCTTCTTCAGTTAATCAACAAAAATTTAATAGACTAATTTCTTTTTCTTGTGATTTGCATGGTGTCTAATGCTTTGTAATTCATGCTTTTAGTTTAAATATTGATTGGCTGAGCTAAAGTTGTGAAGTGTGTGCCTGAAAAAGCATGCAACTTTGTGTGTAACTTTTTCATATATTCAAGATGAAACTTAAGCTTGCTCTGTGAATTGGCACAGTGAAGTTAAGTAGGTATTATTAAGGTTTTTGTGTCAATCAAAACTGAAGCCTGGTTTATAATTTAAATCATGCCAGCAAGGCATTGAAAATTGTTAGGATTTATTTATAATGACCTGTTACTGTTGGACACAGAGACATTCCTGCACCAACTTAGGCAGGTAACTATGCCATTGAGGAATCTGCAGTGCAAACTTCAATGAAAGCTGACAGCAGACTATAGATGTAGAATATATGATTGGCTTTCAAAATTTCCATTGAAAGGAAATAGCAGAAATAAATGAAATAATGCCATATGGCATTATGCTCATGATGGAGATTTCTTAACTAGACTAAATGTGAAATGTTCTTCACATGTCAATCATATCTGCTGGCATTTACATAAATTTGAATAAAGTATCTTGGGTTAACTTTTACTGTCTTGCAAAACAATGAATGATTCTGCACTCAATCTGTTCCAAGTTGCTCTAATGCTTCATTCCCGGTAATCAACAGAGTTCATGAGTCTGATTCTGCTTTCCCTTGTACTTTGTATAGTTTTTAAAAGTTCTAATACAAAGTGAGTAAATTTGGTGTAAGTCTGAGTAAAGATTTCAAGCTGTATCCAGTGGTGACAGCAGTGCCACTAAATCCAGAAACTCACGTGGTAACAAAGCTCTGACACTACAAGATCAAGATGATAAAAAAGGTTGGGGATCATGACTTGCTTTTCAAAACAAAAGCAGAAAGAGAAGAAGGAAATCAGGTTTTTGAAAAACATTTAGCACGTTTTTCTCAGTATTTTGACAATATCTCTATTTTCCTTTAGAGTAAAGGTGTCTTCATAAAAAGAATGTCCGTGGTGGTTGCACTCTTTCATGTGGAGTAAAGATATATTGAATGAATAAGAGACCACAACAGATTTCTAGTGTCTGAGGTTTCAAAATAGTACTGGAGAAACTCTCCTTAGGACTCTTCTTGTGGCTCAGTCTCTGGTCTCAGAGCAGCAATTCACCCCACCATGGTCTTGGTAGGGTGAACTCACCACTTTTTCAATTAAGGACAAAAGTGAGGGAAAAAAAAGAAAAGTGATGGCTGAACTCACATAAGGACCTGAGATCCTAGGAGACACAGGAGACTATAACCCTCATTACAGAGATCTTCTCTTGGTGTACTGTCCTCTTTTTTGGTAGATGGAAGACCCTAGAATTGGTGATAAATAGCCACTTATATAAAATTTTTAGATGCAATAATTCTAGTGATAGAATTTTTTTTTTTTTTTACTAGATGTGGTCTTAACTTATTCCTGAAGATTTATCAGAATATATAATAAAATCATAGACGTATATTGTTCTTTTTGCCATTAATTTTGGCTGAAGGTTTCCTATGGAATTTGTGAAACAGGTGAGAGAGAACTCTTGCAGACTGCACAGTGTTATCCATGCTTTCTTTATGCCCAGTGACTGAAGCAGTTACTGAAACAGACTGACAGAAAAGAAATAATATTCAGGATATTATATCAGAAACTTGACAGGTTATGTAGCTACAGGATATTCTTACATGTGGATGCAGTGCTGAAATCCTGCACCACAAAGGAAGACCTTGAGAGTTCGTGCTGCCTCTTTTACACATGAATGTATGGGTAAAGAACACTCTAGTTATCCCACAGGAAGATACTTGCCAGCTGGGTGAATCTGAGGCTTCTGATTTTCTTTTTCCTCCTTGCAGAGTGAACATACATCCAACAGTTTTCAGAACTGAATTCAAGGGACTTTTTTTATCTTCAATGTTCCCACATTATATGAGTCACAAATCCTCCTGCACTAAGCAGACAAAACACTTACTTTCAGAGAAAAATTCTTTACATATTTTCTAAGATACACTGATTATGTAAGCATAGTCAGTATCTTTATTCCATCATTCTTAATGAACAGTTTAAAAGTGATCTGTAGTTTCTTAGGTACAATGCTTAGGGATGTATGTCTGAAGACTGATTTCAAGTTCAGTATAAAATGTGAGGAGCAGAGATTGAAGTCACTATTGAGAGAAGAAGCATTGCAATTGAAGACGTCACCCAGGAATCGTTGATCATTGAAGAGATGTTAATTCATGCACTTGTTGACTGGAAGAAAAGGTATTTGAAGCTGCAGATGTTGAAGCTCTAATTTTTTTAAAATTTCAAATGGAAGAGAGCAGTGCACAGGGACAGTCCATTGGACAGGGCTGTATGGAGGTACATCTTATACTTTTCATCCCAAGTGACCACTCAAAACACAATAAACAACAGTGACATTTCACCAGTTGCCAGACATGAATCTAACAGCAGCAAAGCCACAGCAGGAATTCCTGCAATCCTTCTTTCTTTTGTTTTAAACTATTAACTTTTGCAAAGAAAGGTATACAGTGAAAAGATATGTCTACAGTCTTTAGAACATAAAAAGAAAATATTGAATGACTTTAATTTATAAAGTGTTGGAAGAAGTATTGGGAAATTTCCATTATTCTTTATATGATGTGCATTGTCTTTTTCTCGTTTGTCTGGTATTTGATTACCTTTGTCCACTTGAGGTATGGATACATTTATTTACTTTATCCTTTTCCAGACCTGTCTTTAGTCCTTTGGTTCTCTTCTGCTCTGTTAAAGCCATCAGTACAAAAGTCACTCATCTGTGATGGTTTTGTAAAAAGTATGAATGAAGTATCAATTTACAGAAAAAGAGTTTAAGGAATTATTCTGGCCAGGAAATTCAGGTTTTGTCATGTCATCTACATATCTACCTTAAAGATCTTTGTCGTTTTTCTGCTGTACTTGACTTCATGGAGCATTATAATGAGGGTATATAAACAGAAAAGCAAAGACGTCAACAGACAAATATTGGGTTTAAAATAGGATTTCCATCAATACCTGTGCATCTAGAACTTAAGAATTCTCAAACCTGAAGCGTATTCCTGTCTTGTTCCCAATCTGGCAAAATAAATTAGTGATAATTTGCATGC